TAAAATGTTTAAGCAGCACCCCTGCTTATTTCATGGTTAAGTTATTTTGTATTAGGCACGGAAATTGCTGCTGTGTCTGCTGGGTGAGGATGCATGCAGACTGCTCAATTAGCAAAAAATCAGAAAGAAATGACCTCGTGGCTTGCTTCTAAAAGCTTGTATTTGGTTTTTGTAAGCAGGACACACTATAATACAGCTTCCAATCAATCAACCACATAGTTCTAGTAATCAATGTCACAAACAGACTTTATATATGTATTATATGAAAGTGTGTCTCTACTTTTGGAGATAATTTTTTTTTTTTTTTAAGTTGTCTGAGCTTGCTCAAGATCTGCAGGTCATGATAGAGCTCACTGCTCTGCTGGATTCTGCCTTAACCTGCTGGCAAGAGTTTCTGGAGGCATGGAGCCAGGGCTTTGGCGACCAGCATACATCCGATTTGGCAAGAAAAATCACATTTCTGTGAACAGAGAAGCAGGGAGATGAGCACTGCCCGGTAGTTACCTCCTCGGATGTGTTTGGAATACTTGTTTTGCAGCTGAGTATAGGCTTTTCTATGTGCTAATTCTCTGGAGGGCTTGTCTTTTAGGCTTTCACAAGGGTCAGCTGAATAATGAAGAAATGGAAAAGCAATCAGTCCTTTTAGTTTTGCACAGACTGCTGTCCCTGTGTACTGGGATCAGACAAAAGAGGTGTAGGGTTTTCGGAGGATAACACTTTGCGAGCTTGTGGCACCACAAAGCGTAGGGACTGTGACAAATAGTTAAGCGTAGCCTACGTGCCTACTTCCGAAGGCTCGCATTGTCTCACATTTCATCATATCATCTGTTAGCATATGGCTGTCATGGATAATTGAGACTTATCATGAAAATAATTTTGGCAGAGCCTAGCTTCACACATTTCCTGTTAAACACCCAGGAGAGGAACGGGCTCTTATTTCCCCCAAGCCCTTTTGCCATGATGATGGAACTGCAGAGCCAGAACTGTGATGCTTCTCCATAGCAGCTATTGCAGCGTTCGAGAGCTTCCCAGGCTTCTGCAAATGCAGCAAACTGCTTTTCACAGAATTTGGAGTTTGGTTTTTGGACAAAACCCCACGTGTTCACCACGTGCAGTATTTTTACTTCACTGAATTACCGTCTTCCGCGTAGGCAGCGGTAGCAAGTGACCCAGGAAACAACTTGTGCTGCAGTGTCTAGTCTGGCATCTGTATTTGTGCAAAACACTGCAATTTACAGGAGCATTTATCAGCGCAGCTCAATTGCAGAGGTCTTCAACTGACTTGGTTAGAATAAATAGGCAAATAAATTCCATGCTAGAGTATTAAAAATAATGTATCAGAATAGGTGCTCAAAATACTATTTTATCATTGACTCTTGCTAGCTGCTAAAAGTCAGCAAAATTATTGCTGTTTATTTCAGTGGGAGTTCAATCAGACCAAGATGTATTGTAAGCGAACCTGGGGACTTGTGCTTTCGGGGTAATTTTCTGTGAAAAAGACATCCCTGCCAATCCTGCAAGCTGCAGCAGGGAGGTGCAATCTTATTTTTAAATTTCTGCATTTATTTTTCATAGGATGCATCACAGCTGATGCATTTACATGCATTATGTAGGGTAAGGAGCTGTGACTGAGGTTGTAACCCCAGCTTTGTCCATGATCCAGTCTGACAGTCCCAGCTCTGAGCACCAGCACCCCTTAAAGAGGAACCTAAGTTTGGAAAACAGAAGTTTCATCTGTCTAAAATAAACAAACTTGGCCCTAAAATTAGCCGAAACTTAACACATTCATACCAGAATTATAAAGAAATTTAAAAATTAGTTCACGTAGAAAATTATCTTTTTTTCCATTGGACAGTTCCTGGTTTACCCTGGCAGTGCTTGTCCTTGGAACATGAGGAAATGGTTTCAGCCATGTAAGGTCACACAAATGGATCTGAACTCTGTGAACAGAAAAGCTGCTGTTTTCTTCTACCCTGAAATTAGTGCCAGCAGGGCAGTTTTGAAACATGCAGAGAATTATCACATGCTGCTGCAGTGGTAAAGCCCCCAGCTGGGTAACACCTCCTCTCTTCCCCACTGCCACTTTTTTGGGGGGAAAATTAAAAAAAAAGAAAAAAAAAAAAGTCAGACTGATGAATCCAAGATTCTTCATTCAGTGTCCATGCTGTAAACTACCGTGGCTTAAATCCCCTGCTTTCTTCTGCCAGTGTCCCCTAGCCTTCTGCTAGCACATACTGGCTATTTTAAGTGAAAAAATAGTCCTGTTGCGCAGATATGTTTTTTCCTTGATGCCATTAAAATCTTCACCAGGGCCTTCCTTGGACACTTCAAATAGAGGAGGCACAAAATAAGAGTTGAGAATTTTTTTTTTTTTTCACTAGGACCTGTTTGTATGGGGGTTTTTTAATCGTTGGTTGTCAATGGAACAGAATAGGAGCCCAGACAGAGGCACCCCAAATATATGAATAAATACAGCATTAAGGTTCTAGGAAAGGGTCGGTTGATCCCACGTAGGCTGCATTTCAGTTTCTGTGAGCTGAATTTTATCAGACACTATTCCAACCAGCAGAACACTAATCGGTCATCTGATTGCGTTGCTTTGCAAGACAGTAGCATGTTTAATGTTCACTAATTTGAAAGAAGGATTTCTGGAGAGGAGCAGATAGCAGGAAGCCATGGGTGCTGCTGTTACAGCAGATTGTGAAGACACAGTCTGCCCACCTGCCTCGGAGAGTTCCCCAGAGAAGTTGTGTCAGCAAGATTTGAAAAATGCCTGAGAGATCCCAGCCCTCAGTGACTGCCAGAAATGAAATATCTGTGCTCCTGCTCCAAAGGGCACCGGAGGAGTACAAGCTCTGCTCTGCCTGTGGTTGAAGCGTTCAGTTGTTTGATGTTAGCGCTTAATTCCTCTGAATCGCAGCAAGTTTAGAAACTAGACCATGGTACATTAAAAAGATGGCAAGTGGAGAGGATGTCTTTGTATTTTCTGCCATCCAGCCATAATCAAATAAGAGGGGGAAAAAAGCTTGGTTTATTTTCACGGAGCTTTTTCCAGTGGCCCTGTTAACAATCATTCCACAGATCGTAGGAAAAGAGTGCTTGAGGTATTTGAGGGGAGCTGGTCAGATCTAGTCACAAAATGTTCTTTTCCCCTGCCTACCTCCTGCCACCGTCACGCTGCTCTCAGTCTGGCTCGGTTGGCTGTTCTCTCCCATGGCACGACAGAGGTGGGCTCCCCTCTTCAGCGTGGCTGGTGCTCGTTCTTCTGAGCCTGCTTTCAGCATTTGCTTGCCTCATGTTGTGCTTCTCCCATGCTCCAGTGCTCCCCTGAGCTCTCCTCAGCTCTGCACTCTTTGTGGCCTTGCCTCTGTTCTCTCCGTCCTTCCGTGACAGGGGATGATGTCCCAGGGGAGGAGAGCAGCCAGCTTTCACAGGAGCCATGTCCCTTCCCATACCAACAGCACAGCAGTGTGGGAAGAGCCTTCCCCAGTGCTGGAGGTTTCCCCTGGTGACGTACAAAGCACAGCCTGTGTGTGGGCCCTGGCTCCTTGGGGCTGGCAGAGTGGTGAACACCCCAGAGACCACTGCAGCCAAGAGTTGGGATCTCTCAGCCTATCCCATTGCCAGCACTTCCAACAGGCGGCTGGGGCACTCACTGACTGCCACACTGGCTGGGAACTTGTTTCAGTCAGAGCTCTTCCCACGTCTGGGAAGGATTCCCAGGCTGAGGATGGGATTTTTTATCGCAGAGAGACATGGCAGCGGGAGTGAGCCATTCCCTGGAGAGAGGAAGACCCTTCTCTCCTGCCAGTGACCCGGGCCCTGCTCAGCCTCCCTGAGCAGAAACGCAATCATTGCGCCGATTTCCCAAAGAACTGGGTAATTCAGAGAAGAGCTGCCTCTGAGCTGCAGACACAAACACGTGTGGTAGAGCTCAGCACAGCACAGCTGGATTCGTTATTGGAGCCAGACTTTGGTGGCTTTCTGCTCTTTACCTGGACAGCTTCGAGCATCCAAACAGTCCTTCAGTGCTTTGATACATTTTTGCCTTTGCAAAGCCGCATTTGCAACTTGTGCATCAAAAACTCTTCTGAGAGCCCCGCTTCTTGCAAGTCTTCTGGAAATTTGTGCTTTCCTAGTGTATGAACTCCTAGGGAGACATGAATCTTTCAGAGGCTTCATGCAAGTAAAATGCAGCATTTTACAGTCTTAGGCACAGCCTCAGGTTTCTCAGTTTTTCCTAACAAAGTACTGATTTTCTGCTCTTTTATTTATTTCTTTTAGTAAAGATTTCCAGTTCACACTTGGTTCAGTTCTATATAACCAACATAATCCTATTTTCTTACTACTTAACCAGATAATCAAGATGCCAAAAGCATTTCTATGTCTTGGGAATTCCCTTATTTTCTGCCTTAAAATTCTAATTGCAGTCATGTATGAACCTCTGGTTTGCAATACAGAAAAACACGATTTAGTCCCCAGAAAAAAAGAACATAGAAGTGCATGCAGGAGACTCATTGTAATTTGGAATAATAATAATATAATAGAATTTAGAGGACTGTAGCAAAGATGTAACAAAACTGCTCTGCATTCAATGAAAAAAAAAGGGGGGGGAGGGGGGGAAGATCTGAGCATCTGTTCAGTTTTCTTTTGCCTAGAAAGGGCTGCAGGCAGACTTGCTGTCTGTCCCAGAACTTACACGTGGAGTTGTGGTCCTGGAGTTAATTTTCAAGAGTTAGTGATATCCTATAGAAGTCTTTGAAGCAGGGGCAGGAGAGGAGCAGGACTGGGGTAAGGAAGGTTGTACTTACCTACAGCATTAAGCGTCACAGAATCTGACCAGGAGAGGACGACCCACCTTGAAGCCTTTGAAAACAGAGCGGCTGCTGACTGCAGGGAGCCCTTGGTTATTAACAGCCAAGGGCAAGCATCATGTCATCAGTTTGTTTCTAATTTAAAGATAACAATCTTTAAATGCTGCTTTTCTGTTTTCCCCACAGGTAAATACGTCTATCAGCCCATGACACCCGTAGAGCAGCTTCCCAGCACTGAAATACCCGTTCGCCCTCGGGAGTCTACAAACACCATCCAGATCTCCGTTTCACTCACCGAACACTTTTTGAAGTTTGCACCCGTCTTCCAGCCCCCCCTGCCCCCCGACTCCCCACAGTTCTGCACGATCGCAGACCTCTTCATTGACAATTACCGTGTGAAATGCATCAACGGGAAGATGTGCTACGTGCAGAGGCAGCCTCCTCCCGTGCCCCACAAGATAAAGCCTGAGGACGTCCCTGTTCGCAATGCCTTAATCACAAAAGAGAGCAATACACCAAAAACAGATCACTGCTCATCCCCTTCCAGCTCTGAGGACTCCGGGATCAATGCGGTGGGGGTTCACTACATGGAGTCGTGTGACGAGGACACAGAGGGGGTGGCCGAGCTAAGTTCAGAAGAAGATTACAGCCCAGATAGCAGCTGGGAGCCAGATGAATGCCCGCTCTTGTCACCCTCGCAGTGTGAAATGGAAGTGATTGAGACTATAGAAACCACGGTGTGATCCAGCACGTTGGTATCAGATCAGTCCAGTTCCCACTCAGAAACGTTGCTTTTGTAGTATTTATATTTTCTGTTTTTTTCTGACAATCCTTTTTCCAGTGCACTTGGTATTTCAGATTCCTCATGGGAGTGCGGTCACAGGACTTGCATATTGATTGGTGAACTAGCAGCAGCCTGACCAGATCTCCCACGTCTCACGTAAGGTAGTGATAAACCTTAAGACTTTTATAGCTGAAATGGGCCCTTTTCTTGGTCTGGGTTACGTCATATACTACTTCTCATACGAAGATGTGCCACTTGAGATGTTTCCATCTGCAGTGGGCCTTCAAAGCACAGAGGGTGAGCTGGTGCAGCATGCCTGCAAGCAGCAAAACCGAGTTGCCCTTACTCTTTCTCAAACAGCTACGTGAGGGGCAGTGACAAGAAGCTCTGTCTGTCTGTCCTTGCGCATTGTCTGTTCTTTTCTCTAGTGCTGGTGCGACCCTTCTCAAACGCGGTTGGCACTGCTCTTCCAGCGGGTTGGTATGGTGGGCTAGAGAATGCACAAAGTGCCTCCAGCTTTTCTCCAGGCTATGCACCAAGCATCTGCTGAGTTAGGTCAGGCTCTGAAATCTCCTGAGAAGGCAACTGCTGCTCTGGAGGGGAATCGGTTGCCTGGATCCAGGTGGTCCCTTTTCTCTACATGGATCTTGGGAAAGGGATCTGGCTTTTGCAGCTGGGCAGGAGGGGCAGCAGGCAGAGATGAAGCACGGCCATCTAACCAATACCATGCTTGTCTGGGGTGTAAAATGTTAGGTGAAGGAAGTGACTACCTCCAAACATGCAAAATCCGCCCTCGGCTTTGCCTGCTGCTTCCTCCCATGCTGTTTGGTGCCAGACATGTGCACTCAGGACCAAGTGGCCTCAGGGCCTGCATTTGCCTGAAGAATAACAAAATTTAAAAAAAAAAAAGTTTATCAGCCACAGCACTGTGTCGGCAGAGCCAGAGCTCGGGACAGCGTGGAGGTGGCCCACGGGCTCAGTAGTGCATGTGCTTGTTAAAATACAGCCTAAGGTCATTCTAGCGGAGAGAGGAAGCTTTGGCTCCTGCTCCTTCACACCCAGTTCGAGTGGATTTGCGGGGTTTCCTCAAATAGCTGGTATGAGAGAGCTGTCTCGCTGGTGGTTTGGTTCCAGCCCTGCCTGATGAAACAAAAATCCAATTCTCAGAAGATTTCAGTCAGCTTGAAGCAGTTGGAGTCAGTAATAACTGTGTTTTCAACAGCATTACTGAATTTCTTTGTGTATTTGCTGTTTACGTTCCAAAAGTCATTGGTGAATATAAGGCTGTATAAACGTGTACAGTTTAGTGACTGATACTAGATTATAGTCGTGTTATAGGATGGCTCATCTCTCACTGTATCCTGACAATGTATTACGAATTTTATACACTTTGTAATCAGTATCTTTAGAAAACATTTAGGCAACAGTGTGTGTATGTGCACATGCGCGTGTGCTAGGAGTTTACCATAAATGGTTATGAAGTAATACTGTACTTTTTAGACTAACACTTTCAGACAAAAGTAATAGGTTTTCTAGTTTTGATGACTTACATTAAAAAGTGCAATGCTTGTTAAATGAGGAACTTGGGCCATTGCATGAACAGAAACATTCTCACAAGGCACCTGAAAATAATTCTGTTTTTCTGAGGGCATTTAAATGAAGGCTGTAGTAAAAACTAACTAGGATTTATTTATTTTTTAACGGTAGGGTTGTCTTTCTTGGTTAACTAAGGTTTCTAACAACATTTTAGTGTCTTTTGACCATTCGGACACATTCCGTAGGTAGAAGGAAGCATTATGTATAAGCCTACAGCATTTATTCATATTTAATCTTTCAATTGTAATCTGAGTGGAGAGCTGAAGAAGCTTACTCTTGTACCTGGCCTACCTGAGCTTTCTTCCCAGAGGTGGCTTCTCCTTCCCAGGAGGATGGAGTGGGCTGGCAGATGCACCCTCCCAAGGGACGAGCGGCAGCAGGGCCTTTCCTGAGGGCAGGGTGCTCCTTGCCAGCTCCCGCTGCGGGTGCCAAGCACAGGAAAGTCATCAGGACCCTCTGACTTGGCATCACCTCACCTTGTTTGCAAGCAAGCAGGAGCCGCCTCCTCCGGCTGTTCGGGGACACCGGCTGTGAGCAGTGACATTCAGTTGGGTATTTATGACCAAGACTCACCATAAGGTGCTGTGGTCTTGCAGGTTCATATCACTGTCGTCAGGATACATTTTCTTAATTGTAATTAATTAGCAATATTCACAAGCTGTGAGTGTCTCCTACCCAGGATTTGTTCAGATGTCTTAAGCACAATAAGCTGCCTCTTCCTTCTGTTGTACCTGTAAGATGTGGGTGGAGCAGCCTGGTGTGGGACAGGGCGAGTTCAGGAACGCGTTTCAGCAGCCAGCACAGCGGCAGGTTTCTCGCTGTGCTCCATCACACGCCCCAGTTCAGAAACACGCTCCTCACAGAAACGTGATTTCTTTTCTTTGCACAAACACTGGTGTAGACGTGCTGCAAGAGACGTGCCCTGGGCTTGTTGCTCCACTCTGCCAGGGAGAGGTGTGTATATTTCCTCTTTAATAAAATACTAAACAACTGAAGTTCTGCTTGTCCTAACTAACTGTGTCTTTTCTGTACTGGAGTGAAACGTTCCGCTGTTTCCAGCAAAGGAAGGGTTACTTACAGCTTCAGATGGCAGCTCCTGAAACACACACCCAGTGCTATGCTAGGCTGAGAAATGTAATAACCAGGTGGAGCGCACCAGGCCCAGCCCCACCTGGGTTTGGGCACCTGGAGGTACTGGGGCTGGTATACAATCTCACAGGCAAGTGAGAACTGGGCTGTAAAAGAGCTGCCCCAGGCAGGGGGGAGAACAGTGGGGGAAAAGAGCCACAAGCACAGGCTGATGTCTGGCAGAATTCAGCTGGCTGCAGACCCTTGACTTACCTCTGCCCAGGTTCACATGTGGCTGCAGGCTGGAAACACCACTCTGGGGCACCATTTTGTGGTTCTTAATGCCAGTGGGAAGAAAGTGAGCACACTGGGCATGCCGGGGCCCAGGCTGCACAGTGCTGGCACTGCTCCCCAGCCAGGTGGGCTCTGTGCTTTTGTGTTGCTTGGAGCCAGCAGTGCTGCCCTGTATTCCTGCCGTCCAGCGTGAGCTCTGCACAGGGCAGCCACCAGCTCTGTGTGTGGAGAGCAACCCCTGCCTGGTGCTGTTTTCTTCCTGGGAGCGGCTGGGACCCAGAGGGTATGGTACCCCAAAACACCCACGTGCTAGTGACAAAATGAGCAGGAGGAAGATGTGAGATAATGACCACCAGACCAGTAACACACATTGACGGGGGAGGATCTGGAGTGTGTTTCACAAGCCAGAGGTGACAGTACAGAAACACCATTGCTACTGGGTCACAGCTGTGTGAGGAGAGTGATAAAGGTGCCACTGGGAAGGGACACTGCCCAGTTTGGTATTGCAAAACAGTGGCTTGAGCTTAGAAGTGACTAACCTCTCTGACCACCAGCACCCATCACACTGATCCTCTCTCCCTTGCAGCCCCCAAGGGCCTGCAGCGCCTTTTTACACACACACACCTGTCCCCCAACATAGGTACAACAAGGTGAGAAGGGAGGTTTGTGCTTCACTCACAGTGACAAGGTGTGTCTTTCTCTACCAGAGTTCAGTGGCAGTTGCACTAAGGCAACAGCAGCCAGCAGCAGTGCCAGACCAGCCACCCTCTCACCCGCTCCCCGTACGCACAGCTCACGCAGGAAGGTTCAACCAAGGGCCTTTTTAATGGAAGTTTGCAGGAACACCCCGTGCGCAGGTTATTTGCTCACACATACATTGTTTTTTGCATTCTTCAGCATTTTCCAGGTTTGCCTGTTCTGTGGCCTCAGACCCCACGGCTGCTGCCATGAGACAGTGCCCGAGTCTTGGCAAAATGTCAGCTTTTACTAGGTCTACAATTAAAACTCGTGTATGTACCACATGTGTTACCCATCCACAAAACCAACACAGCACTGTGAAACACAGGCTCTGGGCACAGGACAGGCCATGCTCTTCCAGTGGAGTGGAGCCAACTTGGTTATTTGGCAAAGTTACCACTGCTGCCGTGAGCCTCCAGGTCAGTGCAGGTAGCCCAGAGCCTCCAGGTCAGCGCAGGTAGCCCAGAGCCTCCAGGTCAGTGCAGGTAGCCCAGAGCCTCCAGGTCAGTGCAGGTAGCCCGGAGCCTCCCGGTAGAGCCTCCAGGTCAGTGCAGGTAGCCCAGAGCCTCCAGGTCAGTGCAGGTAGCCCGGCGCTGCGCGGTGCTTCAGCACACTTGGTTTTGCCCCCAGAATTCACAGCTTCCAATCCAGCTGCCCCATGGCTGCCATGGTTTAGCAAGAGGCGGCAGCAGAGCTGGGCGATCAGATGCTGCTACAAACCTACCAGTGCCCAGCAAGACTGCACCCAGCACGGAGGGTTCTGGGAAAGACAGCAGAAGGGGGAAAGTCCAGTGTTGTGATGGAAAGGCTTCCCAGCATCAACACCTGAAACCAGCCAGGACTGGAGGCAGGAGCACTAGTCTTCAGCCACTGGAGGGGGGGCCAGATGGAGCTGGAAGTTCTCATTCTGGAAGACGCTGCTGGTGGCCGGGTCACCATGGGAAATGCTGAGCAGCCCGTGCTTTTCACCGCTGTGGCCACGAGACAGTTCTGTCAGGAGAGCTAGCTGCAAGACAACACCCAGACACATGACTGTCCAGTGGCCTGGACGCACTCATGCAAGGTGCAGAAAGACAAAGTGGTCATGGGGGGCTCACCTTTTTCCTGCAGCAATTAGAAAAAACTTAACACATGTAAAGCAAAGGGTATATACAGTATGTAGTGACCCTACAGAGCTCAGTACAGGACAACAATCCTGAACTAAACTTTCAAGGCATCTTTAGGTTGTTTTAAAGGTATATAATTGAAAAACAATCCCAGAAAGAGCTGAAAGTGCCAATAACTGCAGCCAAAACAGGCAGGAGGCACAAGGAAAGTGCAAGGGACAGAGGGAGCCGCACTCTCCTTGGGACAATAGGGGGGCAGGCCCTCTCTGCAATCACGGGAGCCACTGGGTTTCTGGAGGGGAGGATATTTGCAAATCTAAAAAGAATCTGAGAAACCTCACTCCATGGGCACTTTTCAGGACCAGCCTCAACACCAGAGACATTTCCATGGTTTCACTGCCCCTGAATCCCCCAGCAGCCCTGTGATGTGAAACAGCCAGCTCTGTGCACAGTAAATTGCCAGGGCTAAACAAAACCCAAAAGCCAAAGCCCATGCTGTCAGTGCTAATCCCTGGCTTGACAACATGCAAAACACCCTTCACCAATTCAAAACTGAAAGGCAGACAGGGGGTACGTACTCTGGAGGTTCCTCGGTTGAGTCGGCAGAGTTGGTCAAAAGCTTGGATTTGCTGAGGATCCAACAGAGACTCTGAACTTGTCTGATAAAGAGAAAGAGAAGGAGGTTACAGAAACAATACACAAGAAGATGTTGAGTTCATATACACAGGATTTCACCCCAGCTCCTGTCCTTGGGCCTGGAGCAGCCCATCCACAGCCTGTTTGAAGGGCTTTTTTAGCCTTCTTTTCTCTGGCTTGAAGCCACTGTGTGCACCTGAGTTTTGGGGGGCGAAAAAATAAAATAAAAAAAATCATATTGCTACACAAAGGACAGATACCCTCACATCCACAGCGACTTCTTGTTGGGGGCTGTAGCTAACGGCAGACAGAGGAACAGCACTAAGTTACCTTTGGGGGAAGAAAAAAAAATAAAAAGGAGAGGCAGAAAAAGAGAGAAAGAAAAGGGGATGGGAAAACTCCCCTGCAGCCAGCTGGGAAGAGAAGTAATGGGTCACTGCGGGGCAGCAGCCTCTCCTGGGCTCTTCCCCAGGCAGCAGCAGCTCTCCCCAGTCCTTTCTCCTCACCTCCTGACAGTCTCCCCCGGCCCTGCTCAGCCTCCCATCCAGGTCGCTACTCAGCGCTGACTGCAGCGTGCCTTACGTGGCTATTATGGGGCATGATTACTGTGCCAAGGATTATCATCTACTAATGGTATCTCTCCCATGGTCCCTTTTTTCCCCTAGTAGGATGTTACAGACTAAAAGCTAGGAAATGAGGGGTGAAAAGGTGGAGGGGAGGCAAAGTGACTCACACAGCAGCAGCAGCCACATCCCCTGAGAAACCAGAGACAAGAGACATGGTGTTCCTGCCCAGCAGCGTCAGCGTTTGCAGGGTACGAGCGGTTGGGCACAAGGTAAGTGTCATCCCAGCAGCACTGGGGCGGTTACAGAGCTGCAGGTGAGGGCAAACAGAATTGCAAATAGAGGGACCACAGCCTGCAACAACAGCATTAACGCAAGGAGGGCTGCATATATACTCAAACCGCTTTAAAAGGCGTCATTTACATATCCCAGGGAGAGATGACAGAGCATCACAGATTCTTGTAGGTTTGTTCCAGTTTATCACATCACAATGTTTCTATTTTGAATGTTTTTGCTCATATTCCAAAGCAAAAGCATCATCAAGAAACTACAACAGGAGCCAGGGAGAACAGCCTCCCTCATGAGCAGCAATCTGGCATCTGTTGTCTCTGTGGATCTATTTTTAAGGGAACATTCAATGTTCATTCTCAAATATTTTCTCCAAAATACATTTCCCAAGGGCTATTAACCCAAAATGCTACAGTCCTACCAGTGGGTACTGACTGAATTTACATTTACTTTAAACTCTCTGTGGCAACAGATCAAGCCCAACACAATGAACTAGTACAGCTGCCTTCACAGAGTGCGATCAGCTGGCATTAAGGCTGAAGTCCTGGCCCCATGAAGGCAGAGGGGGCTTCACTGTTCCTCTAGAGCCAGGCAGGGTCACCAGGAGCCAGGACCCTTCCGGGCAGGCACAAGCATGCTCCTCTTGGCACTTACAGGCTCCTCCCAGCAGCGAGGCCCTTTGCCCAGGGAAGACATTCTCCTTTGGGGTTGTAGTACATTCACAACACAGAATTTGTTTTGTACTTCTCATGCTCTTGGGGAAGATGCACTGAACCTACCATGGGTTTCCTGAAGCCTGAATAGTTCCGTCACTCTCCTGAAGCCACATGCATCTTGCCTTTGAGATGTTCATCAGTTTGAAAAGAGAGGAATGTCCCGAGTGCAGCTCGCTTATGCCAGAAGCGTGTGCCCAAACTCACTTCTTCCCCCTCCAAGATACATTTTATATTGTAAATAACTATTTGCTAATCCCCAGCCAAGGAGCCAAACATCCATGTTCCCTGCACCCACAGCATAGGCTTTGAACCAGAGAGCGTGACAGTGAGGGTCACACATCCGCAGCTGGCAGGTTGTACAGGTGCTTCCAAGGGACATGCAAGTCATTCTCACTTGGTAAAACAACAAAAAGCAAGGAAAAACCGCCCTCCACAGTCGCTGTGGCCACAGGCATTCAAGGACAAGGAAAATGCAATATAATTGGCCTCCCCTCTTCTGCTATCTCTCTACCACACGCATGTAACTATCAATCAGGCTGTTCTCCAGGCTGATGAGCTGAAATATTGCAGGCAATTCTTTCTGTTGTCATGGAAACAACTGCTGTCAGGCCTTTTCCTTTCTTAACCGTGTCACTAAAGGCATGTTTCCATTCAAGAGCTACGGGGAGGCTCTGGAGTCCAGCACCAGCACTCAGCCATCAGTGGTATCCACTCGGCTCACTTGCTCTCACCCCGCAATACAGCTTCTGCCTCCAGTGCTACTGCTGGGCCAGCCAACTCCTTATTGTCTAGATCAGTATGAAGCAGACGGGCACCTCTGAGCCATTTCCAGCCAAATCCTTATGCCCCTTTGGAAAGGCCTCCAGCTAGATGCACAACCCAAGAGACCCAATTTATCCCCTTGCAGATCTGGACCAGCAAGGAGAGGAAAGGCTCCTTTTTGTTTTACAGTTCCCATCAATTCCACCACTATAATGCTAATCTCCATTGCACATTTTGCTTCTGCATATTCTACCCCCCTCTGGTAGTCACCACACAGCCCTCCTAAGCCTGCAATTATCTTTAATTTAACAGTTAGTGCCAAAGCAAGCAGATCATACAGCGGATGTAAGCAGAGGCACTGTTAACAGTCACGCCAAGAGATCCATCTAAGTTCTGCCTCTCGGAGCCATACCTTCCATAAAAGCTACTGCTGCATCAATCAGAGTGTCAGAGCACCATGTTACCCCAGGGGGCTGCTCCACAACACAGGGCAGATGCAGCCAGAAGTCCCAAGGAAGGTCTTGGGATACTGAGGAACAAAAGCAACACGCATCTCCCTTATTTCCAGAGCTGAATCCACAAGCAATGGAAACCAAGTCCACCTTCTGCTATTCCTCCCCTGCACTTGAGCCTTCAACATGGCTCAAGTAGCCTTACAAAAAGGTACCCACATTCAGTTTTTTGAGAGCTGAGCCAATGAATGTAAAACTAAGTAAGTTTATTCCTCTTCCGCAGGATAAGGACCTGCTGGTTTTGTGGTACTCCCAGAAGAATCAACCTGGAAGAATCAACCAAAAAGAGAGCAAGGCAGGCAGCTGCTCTGGCCCAAAGTCACTAGAATGACACTAACATTACAAAATTGTTAATGAACTTCAGAAAACCTCACGACATCCCTTGTAGAACAAAAGCGTGCTGCTGCAGACCTCTGCAGAGCTACTGCAGAGCAATGCACCACTGCTACGGGACAGAGAAAGCCCAGCCGATCGCTGCGGAGGTGGAAACAGTCTCGCAAGTCACTCTGGGCAACGTGGCAAGTGGTCAAACCTTTGCTGGGAACAAGTTTCAGAGCCACTGTAGTTGTGCTACAGTAGGAGAATGTGCTGCTTCAAGACCAGCCTCCACAGTGTTTCACCACTCACCTCTGCTAGTGGGCACAGGAGCAAAGCCGCTGGCAGCAGCCCAGGCCCTGCCTGCTCATGTCTGGCGGTACCAGCGGGGCTGGCAGCAGCAGGCAAACCAGGACCTGCTGCCTGCAAGTAAACACACGCACTGACTCACCAAAGCCTTCCCTCAGCACTGCTACAGCAGAATGAATCTCACACAGGTCTGCGCTACAGCTCTGCCCTCTGATCTCTTCAGGAGCAGAATGGGAAAGGCAGATGTCTCTTATTTCCAGCTGAACTTAAGGAGCAACCCTCCCACTCAAGGCAAGGGAGAAGACAGGCTTATTTGTGCTCTAACAGACTCACTGCTGCTGCACTGTGAGATACTGCAGCGACTGAGGAGAGGAGGAAGGAGAACCATCTGTATTAAATATCTAGAAACACACTGGCACACCTCCATCCTCCCTCTGCTAGCTTGTCTGTGCAGCAGCTCGTGCTTACACCAGGCACTGATGGAATATTCCCTTGGACTTCTGCTGCTGCCTTCAGCCAAAGGAGTAGTAACGCTGTTCAGGATTAATTAGCTAAGCACAAAAAACACATTCTCACTGGACAGCATGGCCCAGCAGATGAGATATTTATTTATACTGTAGCAGGCTTCGAGGGAAGCATGGCAGCACACGGATTAAACATGACATAAAGATGATGCACAACAGGCCTGTGCTCAGGCTGATCTCGGTTCAGTGCCTGAGCCCAAAAGGACAGAAGCATCGTGCATGAAGGCAAAGAATTCATTTTCTAAACCTGACCTAAGAGGCTGTTAAAGCACATATTGTAAGAGCCAACCACAGAAGGCTCAAGAAGTGCAGTGTTCTCTCAATGGCAGGACTTTGGGGAGAGAAAGGGACAGTGAAGACATGCAGAAGAAGGAAGAAGTCCTGCTTGGTGCAGGAAGGATTAGTGACCCCTCCTACCAGAGGCTTATCGATAACATCACCCAAAACCTTACAGAAAATCCAAGTGGACACCTCTGCTATCCGTCCCTTTCGGAGCTCCTGCCACCCACCCAGCAACCTGTTACTGCTGTTTAAGAGGGAAGTTTATAACGTGTCTAACAACTCTGGTCCTGGGAGATCAGCTGCAGCTGCCCAAGCCTGCGTCCGCTCAATTCACATATAAACCAACACTTCATTGTGCAACGTGGGGGTAAAAGGAACAGGCAGGGAGGCGGGGCATGGAAACTGCAGCTTTCCATTTCAGGGATTTACAAGAGATAGATGCTCATCTGCCACCTGCATTTCTGAAAGCCGCCCCCCAGAACAGCCAGTGACACCTTCAGCTACAGCAAACACCACTGACCCAGCCATCACTCCCTCTCGTACCCTCCCATCTGGGGACTACAAACTGCACCAAAACCTCAGCTTCTATTTACTTTGCTCTCCTCCTTCAGAGGAACATCAGAAGAAAGGACAGTCATCTGCACCCTTCCTAACCCTTTGGCCTTTTGGTTATTTCTCAGCTTGGGCTGAGGACAAGCCCTGCAGGGGAGCAGCAATCGCCCCCTCCAGCAGCAGCAGCAAGCACAGCACCA